GGGGAGGCCGAGCCGTGAGGCGGGGAGCGGGAGTGGGGGGGCCTGGCCGGGAGGGCCGGCTGCCATTTCCCCGCCTGAAGGAGCTTTGTCGCTTTTCCTCCTCCATCTTTCCCCGTCGCGTTGTCTGCCCGGGATTTTCCCTCCCGCGGCGAGGTTGAGTGCCTGTGCCCAGAGGCCAGGCTCCTATAGAAAAGGCCGAGGTCCTGTAGAAAAGGCCGAGGTCCTATAGAAAAGGCCGAGGTCCTGTAGAAAAGCCCAAGCTCCTGTAGAAAAGTCCAAGCTCCTGTAGAAAAGCCTGAGGTCCTGTAGAAAAGCCCAAGCTCCTATAGAAAAGGCCGAGGTCCTGTAGAAAAGCCCAAGCTCCTGTAGAAAAGTCCAAGCTCCTGTCAGGACCCCCAGGAGGGTTATGGCAGACCCGAGCTCCTATAGAAAAGCCTGAGGTCCTATAGAAAAGCTGAGCCTTGCCCGTGGCCCAACGCTCACCCGAAGTCTCTCGGGCAGGTGCTGAGCCAGGATGGGTTTTGCCGAAGACAAAGTGTACGACTACATCTTGAAAAACCTCAACAATTTCAAGAACATCCGTGTGGCATCGCTGGCCGATTCCCTGAGCTGCCTGACCGATGCCGACAGAGTAATTCCTTGCTTTCCCGAGTCCTGCCGCCCTCCTTCCCCAATGTATAGCTCGGGCAATGTAGAGCTGCCCGACCTTTAAGCCCGAGCCTCTCTTAGACCGGCTGCGTGTTTTATTTTAGGATGAACTTCACACCCGGGAGGAAACGCGGGGCAGCCAGGCGACCGTCTATAGGTTTTACCAGCACCTGAAGTGCCGGCAGGGCTGGGTGCCGGATCTTATCGAGGCGCTGCGCCAGAACAACGCCGGGCACCTGGCTGACGAGCTGCAGCACGTATATGACTCCTGGCAAGCCTGTACGTAGCCTCCTTGTCCCTGGGTGCTGCCCTGGGGCTCTGGTGGAGATGAGGACCTCCTGGTGTCCGCTGAGCAGCTGGCCCTGGCTTCCCGGGGTCCTGGGGGTGCCTATGACCGTCCCTCCAGGATGTCCCTCACCCCAGGGATGACGGGGTCCTTGGTTGGAGGTGCTTGGGTTGGTGGCGGGCTCTGGTTTCCCACCTGGAGGGAAGATGGAAAAATGAACCATAGAATTGTTTAGGTTGGAAAAGACCTTTAAGATCATCAAGTCCAACCATTAAGCTAACCCTGCCATCCCACCACAAAACCCTGTCCCTAAGCACCCTGAAGGAAGGGGTACTGTGGGCTGGGTGACGTGGGGACAGAGCAGGGGCACACGAGGGGCTGCTACAGCTCCACGCTCATCCTCTCCCTCCTCTGCTTTGCCCCCCGACGACCCCGCTCACAAACTACCTTGGCTCCTGCAGGTCCCCCAGCTCCTGCCGCTGGCTCCTTCCCCCCCTCCGCCAACGGTTG